CATACATAGTTTCAAAATCATATCAGTAATTTTGAGTGATCTGGTTTTTTTACTCATGTTTACTGGTTTGAGTACCTCATGAACTAGTTCGGTTTCTTCAGACCTCTTCTAATATCCATCGGCTTATTATGAGCTGGCTGCACTTTTGCTGCCATTGACAGGGGTTCAAACAGTTACCCTTGAATCAATCAATGCGAGGGTGACAAAGTACATGTGAAGTGCTTGTAGTTATTGAAAATAATGCAGGATGTTTATGTGTAACATCATCAACTCGCAGCAAACCAGAACAGACTAATATAAGTTGAACATAACTAACCAATGTGCCCAACCAAATTGTGATGTTGGGGGTTCCAGCCAAAGAGGTCGGGTGGGAGCAGAACCCAAGAGTCCGGCTTTGGACATTTTAGTAGGTCTCCTGGATGTGTTATATGGCCGAGCATGTTTGGCATGAACAAACTCGGGAATCACTCTGGGTGTAACCGTGATATCAAAAGCCTTCCCTTGCTTGTGCCTGTCGGGGCGAGAGATACTGGTGTTCAAAATAGTGTTACCAACGGCTGGTCCGGTCCAGCTCTGGCTTGGCTCCAACGGTCTGGCTCCAAAGTGGCTCCCTGAGCTGTTGGTCACATGCGGCTCAGCTTGGTCCAGCTTGGAGCCAGCTCAGCCGCGGCTTGAGCTAGTCAAAAAATATTGAAATTATATTGACTTCTTGTGCTGTCAGGCATTATAGGCATGATGTCTGTGGACTCTGAGATATGTAAAAAATAATGTTGTGCAACATTCTTGGTTGTCGTCACTGTCAGACAGTCATCAAAAATATCAGCACCTGATATTTATGGGTTAAGGTTAGAAAATAGGCAGGCACATTTAGGCAGGCATTTTGGACCTCATCCAATATCTGTGCCTAGCTGGCCTTGAGATTAATTTTCTAGCTGTGTTACATCATGTACATACTCTATCTAGGTCTTGAGGATGAAAAAACAGCAATACAAGGTCTCTGGGAGGGGGGGAAATTTACATACCTATTGTGCGGCTTGGAGCCAGCTCAACTGGTTCCTGAGCCGGATGGAGCTGGAGCCGTTTCTCAGCTCCATTGGAGCCGTTTTCTGCCACGGCTTGGCTTGGCTCAGCTTGGGGGCAGCTCAGCCACAGCTTGAGCCAAGCCGTTGGCAACACTAGTTCAAAAGGACTTTGCCAAGGATTCGGAGTGAGCTGATGCTTTTATGACCCCGAGAGAAGCAACTCACTGTCCGAGTCGAAATACGACTTATCTTGATCACAAATCTTGCCTGCGTAATGAGGATCACCTAATGAAGCCTGATAAATGGGTGCCGCAAGGTTGATGAAGAGCTAACAAATGTAAGGCTTACCTTGTACCAGTACAGAATGACCACGTTCCCAAGTGTATTGCCTCCCATCCGAGCCATACTGTTTGATTTGAAGGTCCTCATGAGCCACATTATGCGGCCCGTTGCCCCATGAGGCGCCAATCCATGACCAGACCCTCAGCCCTGGGATGCCATGTGTCTTCCAATCCTGCTCAGATGGACCAGTAGAAAAACAGGCTAATGTAGGGACAACAAACAGAATACATCCCCCTACTATGCTCTAAGATGGGGATAGGAGGGACAAACAGATAAACTGGAGTGGAAGCTGTTTTGGGAGTATTGTGGATCGTGCCAACAACAGAAAACTGAATATCAGTGATGAACACTAAGAAGAACAGCTATGAGTGAAGGCAATAGATTGCGATGTACTTGCCAAGATTACTATATGGGTCATGACAGTCTTTGACATATGGGAGAGACTGAATGAGGTAGGCAGTTGTCGTATTTTGTCTGGAAAGCGCAAGATAAAGTGAAGGTTTACGTTCACCTCAGGCTGGCCAAAAGAGATGTTGACACGAGATGGTACTACACAAGCCAGAAAATGGATGGTGGACTTGTTATATGAACATACCTGTGGCAGAGTAAACCACTTCACTGCCGGTATTAAAATTATAACAGATCCATGCTGGAATTGGGGCAAAGGGGAGATAAGCAAGAATTCCGGGTTTGTTCCGGTCGACAACAGCCCCAAAGGTGAGAAGACCATGTTGCGCAAAGTCGGAGAGTCTCTTGACATGCCTTGTCTCTCCAAATGACACAATCAGACACAAGAAGTGACCAAGTTGTTGTTCAAGGCAAGCAACAATTGCAACAGAACACAGTTGGGGACACATTTGTTGGTGAAGAGGCTTTGGCAGATGCATGAGCGAGCCAAAAGAGATATTGGCGTTGGGGGGTAGAAGGGAGACAGAAGAGATGTCGTATTGCCAAGTGTGGGTTCTTGGGTTGAACATCCAAAAGCCCCACTCAGCTGAAACCTATGGTGCTAAATATTATTAGAGGCTGCGAGACATAAAGCAATGCACCCACAGAGACTGTCAATGTCTTGTTGCCAGACAAAGCAAAGCATGAGGTTCGCTAGCGACATCCTTCGCAGATGTAGGATCTCAAAAGGACAAATATACCTGTGTATACCAAAGGTAGGACCAGACAGCCTAATTTCTCTCAGCTACAAATTGATTCATGAGTTTTTTTCTGTCAATGAGTTCTACATCATGATTGTCAGTGTCCATCATCACATTAGTACATTGGATAAGGGGACCAACCATCATGCATGATTAACAACAAGTGTTCTGACCATCCCAATCCAAACAATTGAGTGATATTAGGCGACCTGATACTGGGTTAACAGAGACTCAGTCTGTGCAGGAGTATTTTGGCATACTGTTGGGATGCCATTTCCCTGCATATACACTCCATTATCTGTCTCAACTTGTTCAAATTTAGACCTGAACTTCCTTGAACGCGAACTTACCACCTGGAAGTCCTCTTCACCTTCTCCCATAGGTTCAAGTGTTATTCTCGTGAATCTTCCCAGGATTCCAATGATCCCAGCATGTTGTACAACTGTCAAGAACAAGCCTAAGGTCTAGAGCCTCTCAGGCCACCTCATCTGGGTCAAGGAGTCGAGGGTGACAATTGAGACGGGAATAGGAACAATTGTGCAAATCACGTACCAGATTAACCAAGTCCTCTCTGTGATTATGGTATATATTTGTTGTTGCGTTGCCAGTCACGATTTGTATGGTAGCGTTGGCACCAATTTGAACATTTCTGGCTTGAGTCAGGATATGGTTCATTGTCATCCACCCGGATCAAGGGGAGCTCAATGTTGGTGGTGGCTTGAATGGTGAGGGGGAAGGGAAGATGCACTTATGATTCTCGCACATCATCATTTATGTCCCACTCTGAGTTATCTGTTGGCACTATGGTCACCTTGGTCTGAGTCATGTCCATCAATACTTACAAAGATGTCGAATCCTGCCATGACTAACAGACATTGATATACCATAAGAAGTGACAGACGCAAAGCAGTACTCTCGTTGTTGTGGCAACTTGTCCGAGCACGTTGATTAGAGTAGACGGAACCAGGACACTGAACTCCGGGCAAACAGATTCAGAGATATCTAATAGCAGGTCAATTGAACTCGCAATTTTAAAGCTGTGGGCACAACCGTAGGCCTCCCTCAGAATTTTGTGGCTGAATATATCTCTTCTACAATAGGACGAGTCACTATTAAACTATCTCGGTCAGACCGAGTTTACATTAATCTGGTTTAAATATGTATTAAACCTCCAAACCCTGTGCTGTGAGTTGGCAAGCGCCCAAAAACATAACAAAGCATTCGGCAATACTAAGGATCGAACTTGAGACCTCATGGACTTATGACACAAGTAATAGATATCAAACAGTCTAACCAACTGTGTCACAGGAGCTTATACTGTTTTCCGGGTTGGGGGTAATATATAGCGTCCTCTGCCTCGTTTTAGCACTCAAAATTTGAAGGGTATTCTATCTCCGCCCCTTGATAATAAGGTCTGTAGTGATATTAATAGTATCAAGGATAGGAGCACTAAGAATTGTATCCAAAACATGAGTGCAAAAGCGAGGTGGAGAACAGTATATAATAACCTTAATTTACAGTGTAGTACAAGCTGTCGTGGTGCAGTTAGTTAAACCATTAGATGACCTTAATTGTGACAGTAGTCCATGAGGTCTTGAGTTCAACTCTTGGTATTGCCGGCTGCCATGCCATGTTTTTGGGCGCTTGCCGACTCACAGCATAGGGTTTGGAGGTTTAATACATATTTAAACCAGATTAATGTAAACTCGGTCTGACCGAGATAGTTTAATAGTGACTCGTCCTACTTTTCATCTCTTTCCTGCCACACAATATCTTGTATGATTTCAAATGCATACAAACAAAAGGTGGTGAGCTGGAGGTCACTTAGAGTTGTAGTTGTCAGTAGGTACACTGTAATATCACCGTGGGGTGGAACAGGTTGGTCAGGCATGGATTTCAGAGAGCGGCCTAGTGTGATTGTAACAACAGCTGTGAGGGGGCAACAGACACTCCAAAAGATTTATCAGCCATCACAGCAAACTTGATACACAGTAAAGTACCCACAAATAAATTGTTCAAGAACAGGAGGTTCATCTCCTTCTGGTAGAGTGCACATGTTCGAGCCAAGAGGGTGCATCTCAGGACAGGATTACATCGTCTAGCGCTACGCTTATGAGCACTGAACAGAGTCCGTCTTTCCGAGGCCATCATTTTCTTCAGGACATTAAGATTTGTGCTCAACAAGTGTGCAGATCATCCAATATTTCCGCAGAGCCAGTACCTCCGACTCAGAAAACAGGGACTTCACCATCTTTTTCACAAAGCCTTTACAAGTATGAACTGTATCGCTTGTAAGGCCTGTCCAAATCCGATTCACCTATGCGTCGCTGGAATGGGTGCTAAGCTGACGAAGATACGGAGCTGGGGACATTTCTACTCAATGCTCTCAGAAGGATGTACCATGCCAAGAACAACTACAGGCACTTACCTGGACTGTGCTTTGCCACTCCATTGTCTGATGAGTCATGACATGCAGGATGGAAGTTTAGCATGGTGTAGTTGGTTATTATATTCGCTTAGCATGAGGGGGTGCTGGGTTCAAACCCCAGTATGTCCAATAACATATCTATTTGTCACACTTCCGCTGGCGGCAGGTTACTACCCACGTTGAAAAAAAGAGGACTGTAACTCAACATCCTCGTCCTTAAGATATGGTTGGGTGATTAGGGGAGTGTCTGCCATTGGTTCAGAGGTTTCAGATGGGAGATATGGGTAGCCTTTGTCGAAAAACCCGCAGTAGTGTATGAGCTGCGGTCACTGATACGTCGGACATTCGCGGTGATGGGGACAACGAACCTCGCATATCATCTTGCTCAATGGATTGATTGCAGCCAAGGGGATCATGATGGTCAATAGAATGACCTATATTAAGTATGCACGGTCACTACATAGTGAGCTCTTACTATTTTCCTAGTCCCAATATTCTAGCCCCCCTCCCCTCTTGCCAATGGCCACGACAAGCAACCTCTTCACCAACGCCAAACATTTCCAAATAGGCGACTACGCTACTATCCAAAACATAGGCAGCGATGTGACTACGAACGTCTATGGTCACAGGGACTTTTTGAACTTTGTACATACTACTACGGGAGTTTACCAAGCAAATCGCAAGACAGTATATTCACTCTAGTCAGGAAACGTGTTCAGGAGAATCCCGATGGGTGATATTATCGTTCGGAGTTTGTCTTTGGAGGTTTTACATGTCCATCTGAAGTGTCAAGAACACGCATCAAAGCTCGAATCTAAACAGCTAAAAGTCGGGAAAGCAATCGACTACTGACCTATTTCGATCAATTTGAATGGCCTGTGACCAGTGACCGGTTCATACGAAATTGGGAATTCATAGGAACGCACCGTGACCTGTGATGCGGCAAAAAAAATTTGAATATCGAGCCAGAGAAGCCAAATTTAGCAAGCTCAGAGGTGTCACAGGGTGGGCCAATTCAAATGGACCCCCTATGACCTTGTGACCATTCGAAAAATTTTCGAAAATTTTGGGCCGTGTGACCTGTGACATTTGAATTGATTGAAATAGGTCAGTATGTCACAGTGCTTGGACTTCCTGGGGGCTTTACAAGTATAACTGTCAAGCCACTGGCAGCGGTATCAGAGCACCAAGCAGACGGTTTTGAGATTGTGAGCACCAGCGAACCATGTGGATCTGATCATACCCTGACCTGGTCTATCAGCAAGGGATAGACTGTACAGATTTGAGCATACCCTGTGGATGTTGGGTAAGAATAGCAGGACATGTACAGTAAGAAGTCATGTACCTTCAGAATGATTATGTATTGAGCATTGAATGGTGAGGCATCGAGGAAGCCTCGAAAGCCTGAGGGATTCTGACCTGATGATGACCAGCGGCTGATGAGATAAGACCAGATTGACATAATCTGATCATGCCACAATCAGCCGCTGGTCAGAGCACCCCCAGACTGAGTCGCGTCTGTCAGAATGCATCAGAGAGGGCTTGCCTGACTGACCACTGGTCATTTGCTGCCCATATGCTTCTCATTTAATGTTAAATTGATTATTGTTGGTCTCCGGTATCACCACAACCTTGTAAGTTGTTATCAAGTCGACTGTCACAGACTACCTTGAGCCACAGATCCGGAGACCAGTTCCTAGCCCGAAGTTAGCCCGAGCACTTGCGCTAAAATCGTGCCGGAGTCTCAACTGTCAAGAACTGGACTAGGTCTGAAGCCCCTCAGGCCATCTTCTAGGTCAGGGAGTCGAAGTAGAATTAAGAGACAGTGAGCAGGACAATTGCTACACAGTACATGCTGGGTACAGGCAATGTGAGACGAAGTTGTCAGACTAGGGAATCTATCTACAGGTGCCATGAGTATATATGTCAAAGTACAGCATACTGAGTCATGGAAACGAATCCTAATAAGGAATAATGAAAGAACATTGTAGAACATCAAGGAATATCAAAGGAGTCAGGTAGAAACTGATGGAACAATCAAGGGATGTCAAGTACAGCAATATCATGATGGAAATCAGATGGAATGATGAACCCAAGGTATGGAATGATCTGGAATGATCTGGAACATCAAGGAAGCCATAATGTGATACTGGGGACATGGAACGAAGTGAAATCAAGGGTAAATCAAGGGTAATAATCCGGGGACCAAGGAAACAAGAGGAACAGTGGGGCAATTCGTAACATCAACCACTTTCTCAGATGCCCACCGCATGTGCCCACATACCCATGTTGGCACTCAACCACCACCATCCCCGCCGAATAGCACCTCCATCAGTTCACCCGAATACTTGAATACTCCAAGTACCTTTGACTCACATTACTGGCGAGGCCGAGACTTCCAAAGCACCATGATCAGAGATTAGGAAGCAATGGATGGTGGATGGGCTCAATTTTTAGATGGCAAATTTAAGTGCGTATTTCTAGTTTTCCTTCATGTTCTTTCAATACTGATGTCTTGTTTGCGAGAAGATATAATTCTATGTAACTCCTCGAAGTCACCAGACAGGCCTCACTATGCACTCCTCCCAGTCAGCATCTTGACAGACTATCGATTACTCCAAAGCTAAACAGAAGCCTTCAAGCTTCAAGGCTCAATGTCAGGCGATGAATTGCGAGATGCTTCATGATCATCAACGTCACCCCAACATCACCCTAACGCACAGACCATCCCTCTGAGATACTTAAACCCAACAACCTTCGTATGTTTACCACTCTTCCTTTTCTCCCTCCCGTCATGAACCCCTCGTGCCACACAGATTTTTACTGACCACTTGACCCTATTTACTCCCTTCCCACCCGCCGCCATTCACCTTGTTCAGTACCTCGTTTGGTCTAGGTTCTCCCTACACATTACCTTGCACTTGATCCTGACTTATTTATGTCCAGTGCATCGGCAAGCCACGAGCCATAATACGTATGACCATGGGGCACACCTAATCATGAGAGTCCTCAAATATGACAGGTCAACCATGACAAGCGATCAGGTACGTGGATACTGTCCCCAGTTACAACCTGCACATTGAGCATGGCTGATCGGTCTCTGTAGGACCGTTATTACCCTCAATGGAATATGTCGGTTGTCGGGTTGGGTTATCAATAGGTATGTCTTCATCTTTACATCGGAGAACGGTCGTTGAGCTGACTATATGCGCCATCTAAGTTGCCAGGTCCCTTCTCACGTGCTTTAGAAGACTGATGCTGCATGTGTACATACCATCACCCCACCCACGGCCCACCGCTAGCCATGTAAACGACTGCTGGGCTCAATGTTGGGGCATCGATGTTTAGCCTTTGTAATTGTACTGCATTCTATTAGTACACCATGTACTTGTGTATTTTGAAATCCCATTGTTCTTTCACAATACAGTCATGTCAAGTAAGAACTTATGAATCTAGGCTTGCATGGCCTGGACACACCCCAAGGGCCTGACTGAGCCTTGTCAGCTTGACGGTATCTGACCTTGTTGGTCAGACTGGATGGGCGTGATCATGTTGGTCAGGCTCACCACATCTGACCGTGCGGGTCATTCTGGCACGTCTGACCATTGCCGGTCATAATAAGTGCGCCTGGTCATCCTCTTATCAGATGTAGTCATACTAACACATCATTTTCATTTCCAGTTCTACTGTACAATAACTACCATACACCGTCAGTATGTACAACTTCGCCAGAACAAAAACCGAGATCCAGCGACCGTCAGCCTGGTGACACCTCACCATGGCTGACGGGTTTGACCAGTGATCAATCAGATCACCCTGGTTTTGCTGGTGAGTTAGTCACACATAGGCGAGGAGCAGAGGGAAAGAGTGGAGACTAGACCTCAGACGCTTGAGTAACAAACCGCTGAGGTAGAGTGGTATTTCTACCTAGCTTATATACTACAGTACAGGATAGATAGAATACTATAGAATGGAGTAGAATGTGCTGTGCATGATGTAGTAGGATCGGAATGGGAGTAAGCACAGTCAGTGAGGTAGAGGGTATTGGAGTAGGTGCGTAATGTAGGGCAAAGGGATAGTGATATCATACAGTTTGTAGGGTTGTCATGAAGTGCCGCTTTTCTCCCTATCTTTTCCTTTCTTAGCGCCCATTCCCCTTTCAGCGCCTGATTATCACTTTGACGCCCACTTGTTACTTTGACACCTACTAGATACCCGGTTCCCCTCTCTTCATCATTCCCATCATTTTCTTCCTCATCCTTGTTCTTTCACATCATCTTCACAACCCATTGTATCCATCGTTTTCTTTGTTCTCTTTGTTCTTTTATACACAACAGTTACTCATTCTGGACTTGTTATTGATCCATACCTGGACTACTATTGTTTCTCCCTTGTTCCTTATTATCTTCCTTTATTCTCGCGGGACTCATATCTCAGTATATAAGCTAGACAGTTTACACCTGGTCCCTCATCTTGACCTCTTGTCATTGGGACCAGGTGAGTAGTCAATTTTGTCTCTCTTTACCTTCAATATATCTAACTTGTCATTGGGACCAGTTATCTACCTGCTCGTGCTCTCTGCTCGCTGTCTCTGACATCTCTGTCGTCGTCTCTGCTAGTCGACTTCTACCGCCGTTGCTTCTATAGTCTTAGCGTCTAGCGCTTTGGGACATTAGGTCAAGATCCTTATTGCACTGACAGCCTGACCAGTGGTAGGGTTGTCCTTGCAAGATCACCACGGCTTCCAAACCTTGTTCGAATCTCGTTCACGCAGTTGATCCCACAGACCAACATCACTGGCACCGCAACCCTGAAACCCAAAACTGGAGAACTTGTGAACTCCAAACCTGCCCACACGCCGACCCTTTAAACTCGATCCCACGAGCTCGACAGTTCCCCGATGGATCAGAACTGTTACATTACCGTTCCCCAGTCCTACTCCCGCTCCTGAACTAGAAACCGATTTAACAGCCTCCGCTGCCTTACCGTTTGCTGCACCACCCACTCCCGTAGGTTCTGGACCAGCCACTCCACGACCTCTCTCTGCTCTTTCACACCAATCTCCAACCCCAGCTGAAACCACCGACACGCACACCTCCCAAACCACTACCTCCAGTATATCCAGCATG